TTTTTTTTTTTTTTTTTGGTACTGGGGATCGAACTCAGGCCCTTGTGCTTGTGAGGCAGGCACTGGAACCACTGAACTAAATCCCTAGCCCACCATCCAATACATTTTAACCAGATTTTTCAGATGCATGTGACAGAAAAACAAGGCAATAATCATGCAAAAATTGGTACTGGCTATTTCACTTTGCATTAAACAACCACTTTTAGGGGTTAATGTTATACTTTTGAATATCTTGCTGTGGTTATATTTTCCACACTGCACATTTACAGTAGCTAAATGAGAAATAAGGCTATCATTAGATGCATACCTAAGCAGCACATTGTGAAATAATGCACTAAGTGAAGCAGTAAATCCAAATTGGCTAGGCTGGAAGGTAGAGTGTTTTATGATATTGACTTTGGGTTCCTCACCAAACTAAAGGTTTAAAGAACAGTGGCAGAGTATGGTCTGTTGTATATTTGTTAGATCTCATCTGTCCTAAGTATTGTATCTTATGCATAATATATTTCATCACTGTCAATTGGAGCCATACTTTATCCAAAATGACCAGATAGTATCACTACCACCAAGATCCTGGACCACAGCCAATCTTCTGGCATTTCAGTGATCCTTGATGCAACCCAACACCACTGTGAACGGGATGTTGAAGCAGCTGTTACAGTAAACTAAGAGGGCATTTGCAACCACTGAGCAGAAGAAACACAAAGCAAATTGTACAGACAAATTTCAAGTAATGTAATAATGTCTTCAACAAAACAATCTTTCTGGTAAAGAATCATGTATAAGCCAAGGAAGACTTGAAAATGCAGTAGTCATTTGTCAATAAAAAATTTGCCTTTGGTAAAAATTAGGAAATTGTGAATTGTGTATATGTCTTTGTCAATCTGGGATTCTAGCATGGGTGAGTTTTCAAACCACTCTTGTGGATAAAGAAGAACAGAGTTAGGAATAGAAATAGGAAGTAAATCAAATAGAGAAAAGATTGGCAATTAAGATCTGGAAAACATAAAATGTGTTAATAGGAAGAAAATATTCTCAGAAGCATGAATGAATCGGGGCATGTAAAAACAAAGCCAATAAAAACAAACTAGTGATATGTCAACACAGAAACAGGGTAAGGGACTGATGTTAAGTGTCAGGATATCTATGAGATTAAATCACAATGACATTAAGCATTTGGATACAGAAACAGGAAAAAAACTTGTTAATATGAGATAGCAAATTTGTTAAACAATGAATGATTCTTGTCTTCCTCCGTTTTCCTGGCCACTAAAATTTTGGCTTTAACTAGTCAATTTTTCCCTTTCTACTGATCTCCAAAACATTTCCTATCTCATCTAACTGATTTTTCCTGCTTTCCTGAGGCAGTATTAGAAACAGAAATTTGGGTAGAAAGAGAAAAATTTGGTGCTAATGGAGTTTATGAACCTATACTTGCATGGGAGTTATTTTAAAGGAATTTTGGAGTGAGAACACAGAAGTTATCATATGAAAGAGAAGCTGATGAAGGACAGAGGGAAGGAGGATTTCAAGTATTGCAGAGGATTACATGCCTCCTTCATGGAATTTAAAAAATACATATGAAAGTCTTGAATTGTTTTAAAATTATTACTTTTGTTGTTGTGTTCCAGCTGCTTTGCTGATCTGACCCTGGACCTCATGGTCTCTGTCTCTATAAACATTACATTAACTTGTCCATAATCTTTACTCTGATCCAACAGCTGTGCGTGTGTCTTGTTGAGACTGAAATGGAGAGAGGGAGCCTAAATAGCAACTTAATGTGATAAATAAAAAATAATTGTACAAAACAAATTATAACTTGTTTTCCTGAATCATCGTTGGCCTTGTCATTAGTGATAGTAGGGGATTTTCTGCATTATGTTGTGAACATAAAGATACACAATTTTAATGGGTTATGATTTTAGTTGCTCCATTCTGTTTTTTCAATTCTCAACTATAAATCCAGAATAATACATAATAAATACAGAAATTTTCAAAAACACAGTAAGATGACTATAATTTAGTTTTAAAAATGTTTATTTTTCTTAAGTTTATATTGCTCACCTCAAGTATACAGTATCCTTGTTCTTTCCATGTATAGGTTTTGGATACATACATATCAACATGCAAGTAGATAATTATAGATTTATCCCAATTGCACCCTTCTTTTATTCCTTCCCATATCTGTCTGTCTGTCTCTGTCTCTCTCTCTCTCTCCCCTCTCTCTCTTTGTACACACGCAAACACAATTTATTGATACAGTTTAAAAGGTGACAATAGATAAGGTTTATTCCTTGACCAAAGCTAAGAGTTTGATGGCAATCTTCTTTAAGTCTCACAGCTTCAGCCATTATGAGAAGAATCCTGTGGTTTAACATATGTTTTAAAAAGGCTTATGTGTTGGCAAAGTTCAAGTTCAATATTGCTACATCATGAGCTAAGGGTGATAAAGAAACCTTGCTTCCAATGGCTATATGTATGGCTGTTTGGATATCAAACATGTAAAGACTATTCATACCATAAAAAGCCACAGGAAACAATAGCATAGAATTAGCATCAATTGAGACCTGCTGGAGAAGTAACTAGGAATGCACCTGATTGTGTCCAATACAGGACTACGTGCAGATCAGTACTCCAATAGCAGCATCTGGAAAAGCAGACTTCCCTTTAGCTCTGTAGTTTCACCTGAAAAGTATAAACAGGAAAAGTTATCTGGATCTTTATCATTTTTAATGACTCTGTATGTGGTTCAAAGGGCTAAATATAAAGGCCAGCTCTTGAGTGTGACCTGCCCATTTCAAATCTAAAGTGAATCTCCATCAAGTTTTCTTTCAGCTTAAAATAATAGATATTATTTTTCTCCAAATTCCCTCCAATGTAGTTTTTGAACACATAGTTTTACGTAGGAAATTTTTTTCCTTTGAGTTCTATTATATAATTGAATCTTCCTAGAAGATGGTGAGATCAACTGTTTTATGCTATGAAGAATACTAAAGATACTTGTTAGCCTAAGCTGTTGCTTTCCCAAGAACAGGTACCAGTCAACCGAGATGAGGTCTTTATCCTATGACAAAAACCTTTATTTGCCCAGAGATCTCTAATTCCCCCTGAGATGTGCCATTTGAACTCTATCAGAAAGGTTCTGAGAGATAATGCACCACGAGTTTAACTTACTTATCAACACACCCTCAGAAATGCAGTCACTCCAGTCAGTTCTAATTGTACTTAAAACTGTTCTTCCCAAGGGTGATTTTCTGTTCTCAGGATAAAGAATGAGCAGATACTCATCCTGGGCAGAGGTGATCTCTGACGCCTGTGCTTTACTTAAGGATCAATCCAGCCTCACTATAGTTCTTTTTTTTTTCTTTCTTTTTCTTCAGTTTATTGGTACATTTTAGGGATACAGTACAGTTACATTCATTGTTGGGATCTTGTACCTTTACATGACAGGCCTTGGTTCTCATTTTTTCCCCCTTTTCCCTGCCCTCCCTTCACCCCCTCCTCCCCTCCCCATTTACAAGCACTTTATTTCCATTTTTTCAATTTCTCATATTTTTTTCTTTTCCCTTATTACCTTTCCCCTAACCTTCCCACTTTCCCTACAACTTTAGCCCTTTTCTTCCTATTTGACATTGTTAATTATCTCATTAGGATCTTGTGTACTATGATAGTTTTTCACAACAGAAAAACTATTTGGTATTTACACATGTGTGACGTATTTATTTCACTTAGAAGTATATCCTCCAAATATATCCATGTTCCTATGAATGAATTTAATTTCTCATTCTTTATGGCTAAGTAGTATTCCATTTTATAGAAAAACCACATCTTCTTTATCCAGTTTCCAACTGATGGGCAAATGGACTGTTTCCAAGTTTTAGCTATTACAAACTGTGCTGCTATAAACATAGGTGCGCATATATCACTGTGATATGATTCTTTTAATTCTTTTGGAAACATACCCAGCAGAGCTATGGCTGGGTCAAATGGAACCTCTAGTCCCATCTCTTTGAGGTAGCTCCATATTGATTTCCATAGTGGTTGCACCAGTCTGCACTCCCACCAACATCAGAGAAGGGTTTCTTTCTCTCCACAACCCCGCCAACAGTTGTTATTGTGTGATTTCTTGATAGCAGCCTTTCTTTGTGGGTTGAGCTAGAATCTCAGTGTTGTTTTCATCCGCATCTCTTGAAAGACCAGTGATATGGAACATATTTTCATATATTCACTTGCTGCTTTTACTTCTTTGTCTGAGAAATGTCTGTTCATTTCAGATGCCCATTTTTGAATGATGTCTTTTTATTTGGGGGGTGCTGGTTGTTTTGAGTTCTTTATATATTCTACCTAATAGTCCTTTGTCTGAGGAGCAGTTGGTAAAATTTTTTTCCAATATTGTAGGTTGTCTCTTAGTTCTGTTGATGGTTTCTTTTGCAATGCAGAAACTTTTTAATAAGATGAGATCCCAGTTGTTGATTCTTTCTGCTAGTTCCCATGCTACTGAGGATTTGTTCATAAAGTCTTTTCCTATGTCAATGTCTTCAAGAGTTCAGCCTAACTTACCTTCCAGCAAGTTTAGTTTTCTGTTTTAATATTTAGATCTTTAATCCATTTGGATTTTAATTTAGTGCATGGTGAAAGATAAGGGTCTAGTTTTAACCTTTGCCAGGTTGAGATCCAGTTTTTCCAACACCATTTATTAAAGAGGCTATCTTTCCTCTAGTGGGGATGGTTAGCTCCTTTGACAAATATGAGGTAGCTCAGTACATCTAGAGTTGTTTTTGTGTCTTCCAGTCTGTTCCACTGATCCTCAGGTCTGTTTCTTTGCCAGTACCATGCTGTTTTTATCATAGTGGCTTTGTAGTATAGTTTCAAATTGGGAATTGTTATACCTGCTGCCATGTGTCTGTTGCCTAGTATGGCTTTTGCTATTCTAGATCTCTCCTGCTTCCAAATAAATTTTTTGATTCTTTTTTCTAGTTCTGTGAAATATAGTGTTGGAATTTCAATTGGCATTGAATTGAATCTGTACAGCACTTTTGGTAGTACAGCCATTTTCACTATGTTGATTCTTCCTACCCAGGAGCAGGGGATATCTTTCCATTTTCTTATATTCTCTTCAATCTCTTTATTTATTTATTTATTTTTGGTACCGGGGATCGAACTCAGGTCTTTGCATTTGTGAGGCGGGCCACCAAACTGCTGAACTAAATTCCTGGCCCCTGATCTCTCTTTTTAGAGTGCTATAGTTTTCAGTGTAGAGGTCTTTTGCTTCTTTTGTTAGGTTGATTCTTAGATACTTCATTTTTTGGAATGCTATTGTGAAAGAAATTGTTTCCCTAATTTCTCTTTCAGTGAGTCTGTTATTTGTGTACAAGAAGGCTATTGATTTTTGGCTGTTGACCTTGTATCCAGCTATTCTGCTAAAAGTGTCCATTAAGTCTAGAAGTCTTTTGGTAGAGTTTTTTGGGTCTTGTTTTTATCTTTGTTCAACTTTGGTAATTCTTAGGTATCTAGGAATCTGTTCAGGACTGTGCTTTTCTTTGTTGGTAAGCTTTTAAATACATTTTCAATTTCACTGATTGTAATTGGGGTGTTTCAAATGTTTTTATCTTCTTTGTTCAATTTTGGTAATTCATAAGTATCTAGATATCTGTCCATTTCTTCTATGTTTTCCATTTTATTTTATTAAAGTACAGGTTCTCAAAGTAAGTGTTGACTATCCTCTGGATTTCTATTGGATCTGTTGTGAGTTCACCTTTGTCATTCCTAAATGTATCGATTTG